GCTGACAGCTCAGAGCCTGGAGCCTGCTTCAGATCCTGTATCTCCCTCTCTCTCTGACCCTCCTCTGCTCATGCTCTCTCTCTCTCAGAAATAAATAAAACATTTTAAAAATTAAAAAAAAAAAATCTTAGATCTCCTCTCTAGCCAGAAGTCTTCCACAGGTTTATGGGGTGGCCCTGGCCTTCAGGCAAACTTATCTAGGCCCAGATAGATGGGCTTCTTCTTATTAAAGATGTCCGAGGAAAGGATACCATAAGAGTGTTTCTACATGTTTTAATGTCTCACAAATCTACTTAGTGGCATGGGTTTCCTGAGGTCTAACCTAAATCGCTCCTGCTGCACTGCAAGCCCAGCGTTGAAATAAAACATCCATGGGTGTCTGGGTGGCTCAGTTGGTTACGAGTCCAGCTCTTGATTTCGGCCATGATCTCACAGTTCGTGCATCCGAGCCCTGCATCGGGCTCTGCGCTGACAGTGAGGGGAACCTGCTGGGGATTCTCTCTCTCCCTCTCTCTTTCTGCCCTTCCCCTGCTCATGCTCTCGCTCTCGCTGGCTTGCTCTGTCTCAAAATAAATAAATAAACTTTTTTTTTAAAAATTTTTTAATGTTTTATTTATTTCTAGGAGAGAGAGAGACAGCGTGAGCAGGGGAGGATCAGAGAGAGAGGGAGTCACAGACTCTGAAACAGGCTCCAGGCTCTGAGCTGGCAGTCAGCACAGAGCCCGACGCGGGGCTCGAACCCATGAACCGCGAGATCATGACCTAAGCGAAAGTCGGACGCTCAACCGACTAAGCCACCCAGGCGCCCCATAAATAAATAAACTTTAAAAAGAAAAGAAATACAATAGCCAGTAACCAACTTCTCTTTACTCACCTTTCTGAGAAGTAAAACCAGACTAACTCCTCCTCAGGGCCTCCTTTCACCTTTTTAGATGGTTGAACCCCCTCCCTCCAAGTTATACTCACGCTCCTTAAGCTCTTAAGCCTGTCCTGGGGCCCCAAACTCTGGGGAGGGTTTAACTAGTGCTAACTACACTCTACCCCTTCTTTGCCACGTCTTGATTACTGACTTGAGCTCCACAGCTGCCTAGGTCTTTAGGACTCGAATTACTTTCCTCTGACTCTCCTCTCTCTGTGCCGATCTTTCCCTTTTCCCCCATCACCCCCTAGTTTGTCAGTTTGGTGAGGCTGAGGGATGAAGAACTGGGTCAGAGTCACAATGGCATCGATTGCCTCCGCTTTCCCTTCTTTTCTGGACTGGCCTTCTTCCCTCCCCACCCCCAATCTATTTTTAGCCTGCCTCTGTTTTCCTTGTCTGGTTGGCAACCATGCTGGCCTCTTTCTCTTCGCTGCCCTTATCTCTCCCTTGCAGCCCGTGCAGACCCTAGCTGCCCTTCCAGAGCTCTCTCTCTTTTTTTTTTTTTAAATGTTTTTTATTTATTTCTAGGAGAGAGAGAGACAGCGTGAGCAGGGGAGGGTCAGAGAGAGAGGGAGTCACAGAATGAAACAGGCTCCAGGCTCTGAGCTGGCAGTCAGCACAGAGCCCGACGCTGGGCTCGAACCCACGAACCGCGAGATCATGACCCAAGCGAAAGTCGGATGCTTAACCGACTAAGCCACCCAGGCACCCCTCCAGAGGTCTCTTAATGCCTGTCCGACTTACTGCGATCTTCTTCCATTTTGAAGATACGCAGGGTCTGCCCGAAGGAGGCTGCCCGGCCGAAGGGAAGCAGGGAGAGAATGTTGGCGGGTCTGTTTTGGTAAATCATTCAATATCTCTAGACCTTCAGGTGGTCCGTCTACCCCGCCCCACCCTCCCAACCCCTTCAACAATGGTGTTTCTTCTCCTCTGTGCCCACCGACTCCTTATTCCCTACATCCCCTCTTCTCTAGGACCCCACCCCAGCCCCAGTAAGAAATGCTCAGATCCTCCCTCTTGGGCATCCTGGACCCGCTTCCTTTGGCTTTGGGGGTGGGCAGCAGCCCTGGAGATCCTTGACTGCCTCCTTGGTCTGCACATTACCAGTTCCTTCTTCTCTCTCCACTCCTCCCTGACCTCATCCCTCCCACACACACCCCTTCCTACCCCCACACGCCCCCGCCCCCCCCACACTCGGTTTCTAGGACACACCAGCTCAGGCAGGGCTTGTCATCATCCCCCACTTGTCCTTTCTCAGCCTCTTCCAGACATTGGTCCCCTCCTTTACTGTCACCAGCAAGCTGAATAAGACTGGATATTTTGGAAGGGGATCTGCAGCTGGCTGGGGGAGGAGGGCCGCACTGAGCGAAGCAGAGGCAGAGGGAGCTGCGCGCAGCCACTGAACGAGAGCGAGAGGTTCCCACCACCCTTTCTCCCCAACTTTGCCAGCTTGGGAGACGGCAGGATCTTACACCGATCTCTCTCTGTACCCGGTTTCTCTCTCTCTCAGTAACAACACAATACCTCGCTTTACAGTTTACCGCATTCTCTTCCACATATCCCGCTATGTGCGTGGTGCGCTCCCTCCTCCGGGGCTGCTCAGACGCCGCTCCTCACCGAATGCCAGGCCGACCACTCTCACCACCATCACCAGCATCGCAAAGGGCAGCGCCCCCCCCCAAACCCACCTCCACCACCATTCTCTATCTTCCCGGCCCTGCTCTTTTTCCCAACGCACTTTTCGCCTTCTAAATTACGATAAAATTTACTCGTGCATACTGTTCATATGTCTTCTCATTGGACTGGGCGAAGGCCACAGGAGCAGAGATCGTCATTGGTTTTGTTCACAGACACATCCAGGATGCCTAGCACAGTCCCCAGCACATAGCAGAGTTTCAGTACACGTGTATTGGGGCTCCTGGGTGGCTCAGTCGTTAAGCATCTGGTTTCGGCTCAGGTCATGATCTCACGGTTCATGAGTTTGAGCTCCGCCTCGGGTTCTCTGCTGTCAGTGCAGAGCCGGCTTCGGATCCCCTGCCTCTCTCCGTGCTGCTCCCATGCTTGCTCGCTCTCGCTCTCGCTCTCAACAATAAACATTATAGGAATGGAAATCTTTAGGGGCGCCTGGGTGGCTTAGTCGGTTAAGCGTCTGACTTTCGCTTAGGTCATGATCTCGCGGTTCGTGGGTTCGAGTCCCGCATCGGGCTCTGTGCTGACTGCCAGCTCAGAGCCTGGAGCCTGTTTCAGAGTCTGTATCTCCCTCTCTCTCTGACCCTCCCCTGCTCACGCTGTCTCTCTCTCTCTCCGAGAAATAAATTAAAAAATAAAAAAGAAATGGAAATCTTTATAAAAATAAACAAATAATAGAATGCTTATACTTAATAGAATAAGTATTCTATTATTTACTTATTTTGAGAGGGAGAGAGAGGGTATGCGTGTGAGCGCTCAAACGGGGGGTGGGGGGGCAGAGAGAGAGAGAATCCCAAGCCTGTCCCCGGCTGTCAGCACTAGCCCAAGTCAGCACTCGATCTCACAAACCCAAGAGATCATGATCTGAGCTGAAATCAAGAGTCAGTCACTCAATCGACTGAGCCACCCAGGTGCCCCCATTTTAATCATTTTTAAGTGTAACCATTCTGTGGCATTAAGTACATTCTCTTAAACCATGTTTGTGTTTGTGATATGCTAAACCACAGCCTTGTGAAACCATCCCCACCATCTGCAGAACTTTGTTACCGTCCCAAACCGAAACGCTGTGTCCCTTAAACACTAACACCCCATGCCCCCCTCTCCCCAGCCCCCAGAAGCGACCATTCCACTTCCTGTGGGTGGAATCCTCCAGCATTTGTCCTTTTGTATCCGGCTTCTGTCACTTAGCATCATGTCTTCCGTGTTGTAGCGCGTTATTCCTACTTTGCAGACGTGATTATTCCCACTTTCTGGAGGCTGAGGTGCAGGACATCCTCTGGGAGCCCCTGAGAAGCAGACCTGGCTGGGGCGGAGGAGACCGGCTGGCTTTTACAATTCCCCGGAGAAATCAGCGCCGATCCATGTGCCCAGGTCCAGGAGGCAATTTCCTCTGTGCTGTCTTTCCTCTGGGGATATTTTTACTCTTATTCCCATTTCCCTCTCTTCCCACTCGATGCCTCCTCCTGACATTTCCACCCCAGCTGGCCTCAGTCTTCCTCTCCCCAGAGCAAGCCTTCTCTCGAGTCAAACTGCCCTGGTCTGGAGCTGCTCCTGCGGGGGTTCTGAAGGGTCGCAATGAGCCCCGCTCGAGTCCCTGTTACCCCCCTCACCCCTCACCCCTCCACCCACCCTGGGGTAGTTATGAGCCTGTTCCCTTCCAAAGCAATTAGTGCAAGGAGGCCAGCCGACTCGGTGCTAATGCCGTTTCATTAAGTAGGAGCAATCCTAATGATAATAAAATGGCACATTTAACATTCAAACATTGAACAGGGTTTCTAAGCGAGTGTGTCTCTCTCTTCCTTTCTGGTATAACAGCTCCATCTTCATAAGGACCTGACAATACACCCTAATGAGAGACTGGGGAGCTAAGCGTCTTCACAGAACCAGAGACACAAAGGGTCCGGGGAGAGAGGGTGCGGTGCACTGGGAGGACAAAGCCCCCTAGGATTCCTGGGATAATGGACTCGGGGTGCTGAGTTAGACAATTAAAGTCTCTGAGAAATAAGGTCGCATGGAAAACAAAGGCCACCACAGACTTTAATGCAATGCAGCGTTTTATTTATCTGTTTGCTCAACACATTTTTTTCAACAGGCATTTATTGTGCACCCAAAGTGAGCCAGATTTTGCGGGAGCGTGTGATGGAGGGTGGCTCTAGTTTTCGGAAAAGGAACTCCAAGGGCGGCAGCGATCTACAAATCATCTTGGTTGCTCTCCCCTGGGCGGCTTTAGTCAAATCCACCCCAAGTTTATCAAATGTCTCAGCGAAGAGAATTTTAACAACTGCTTTGGTCCCCTGAGCCAGTCCTTATGCGTCCTCCTCATTGAGACATCCATCTCGAAGGTCCTTGCTACTCTGTGATTGTAGACTATCTAGTTGACCTTCCGGAAGTCAAAAAAAAAAAGGAGCGGGCCTAGGGAGCTGGCCAGGGGACGAAGGCCGATTCAATCATGCGGTGTTGACAGGGGACTCAAGAGAGGCAGGAGAACAAGATGACATGTTATAGCCAGAGGGCTTTATCCCAGCTCGGGGTACACAAAGGAGGCAGCTGGCCAGGGGTCAGAGGTGGGCTTTGCCCAGCCCAGGGAAGCGGCTCATTCTAAAAGGTGTCAAGTCATAGGATGGCGTTAATTTCATGCTTAATTCATACAAGATCTTCCCCGCAACGGGGGAGAGCTTGAATCCGTGTCCTAGGGAAAGGAGAGCAGCTGGTCAAGCGTTCTCAGGGACAGCGGCTGGGGTCCCTGGAGGTCCACTACCCTGTCCCCAAATAGGGCTACCTCTCTTCTTGGTCTGCACCCCAAGGCTGGAAGTTTCTTCCCACCAGAACTCTCCTTTCTTCTCTGATTCCACCACCCGGCACCTTTAGACATTCAGGTCTAGGCTTTGGCCAGCTGAGAGCATAGAAAACACCATTTTCTCTCTCCCTTGCTCTCTGCCCCTCCCCCACTCAAGCTCTTTCCTCTCTCTCTCAAAATAAATAAACATTTTTAAAAAATTGGGGTGGGGGCGCCTGGGTGCCCCAGTCGGTTAAGCGTCCGACTTCGGCCCAAGTCATGATTTCACGGCTCATGGGTTCGAGCCCTGCGTCGGCCCTGTGCTGGCTGCCAGCTCAGAGACTGGAGTCTGTTTCAGATTCAGTGTCTCCCTCTCTCTCTGACCCTCCCCTGCTCACGCTGTCTCTCTCTCCCTCAGAAACAAATAAAACATTAAAAAAAATTTTTTTTAAGGGGCACGTGGGTGACTCAGGCAGTTAAGCATCCTACTCTTGATTTCAGCTCAAATCATGACCTCACAGTTTGTGAGTTCGAGCCCCGCGTCCAGTTCTGCACTGACAGTATGGAGTCTGCTTGGGATTCTCTCTCCCTCTCTTTCTGCCCCTCCCCTGCTCGAGCTCTTTTTCTCTCTCTCAAAATTAATAAATAAATAAACATTAAGAAAAAGAAAAAGAAAAAGAAAACCACATTTTGCCTCATACTGAGATAGGGCAGCTTGAAGGTGCGTCTCCCCCCCTCCCACCACCCCCCTGCTCAGGCTCACCAGAGAATCCAGCACCAATGACGATGTTGTCGTACTTTGGGTGTCGATCAAGAATGAAGTGCTCATCAGGGGTGTTCTAGAAAGAAACGATTACACCTGTGTCCTCTGAGGATAGAAAGAGAAGAAGAACCGCCGAGGAGGAAGGGAAGGGACCAGGCTAGTCCCATTCCAGAAAAAATGGGTATAGGGCACAAGGATGCCTTCTGCATGCCGGGGCCCCCTCAGGGTATGACAGTCTTTCTCATTTGTCCATCTGCCTCTCTTCTCGTACAGAGCTATGAACACAGTAGGTGCTCAGTTAATGTGTGTAAACTAACTTTAGCCAAGATGCCTCAGGCCCCGGTGACATCTGTCTCTTCTCTTCGTCCCTCAGGCCTGTTCAACTAGAACATCTTGCCAAAAAATCTTTTAGAGCTCTTCTGGGAAACATAGCGAGGGGCTGCCAGGCATAAGCCTAGTTTGCTAATGAAAAGGAATATGAATAACCTCTAGCGGGGCCTCACCGGTAGAGGTGAACCGACCCACGGAAATAAGCGCGTTTGTTTCAAGTCACATATCATGTCGGGGGTCAAATAGATGTGAGCCTGAGCGGTGTGAGAGGCGGCCGTCTCCTTCCCCTGTTCCCGGGGCTGTGCGTCGGGCTGGCCCCGCCGCGCACACCCTTACCGTGTACAGGCAGCGCTCCAAAAGGGCAGGCTGGGGCTCTAGGTCAGGTAAGTGATCTCTGACAAAGCGGCCCAGGATCTGGACGTCCTGGACGCCTGAGAATGCTCCGGGGCAGTCCCGCTCCTCTGGATCCACACTGTTGCCGTGGTGATAGCAGACCTAGCTCCCAATCAGAGCGGTGTGAGCGGCCAGGCCGGCCTTCCCGCACACGCCCCCAGCCCCGGGGGCAGGCTCGTTCACCGAGGGCCCCCATCCATCATCCCAGCCTTCCCCGGTCCCGACGGAGGCTGCGTGCTGCCACTCGAGGTGGCCTTAGCTGTTCCTTCCCCCTCCAACCCTGTGTTTGCAAAGGAAGGGCTCCCTTTGCCGCCTCGCGGCAGCTGGGACTCTCATACTTCAAATAAGGAACAGGGAGGTCTTCTGCTGCTCCCCGGAAGGGAGGGGGGCTCTGAGGGATCTGTGGAAAGGGACGTTAGAGCAGGTGGCCCAAATCTGCGCGGGCCCCTACTCGCCTTCTCTGGGCCTTTCCTCTCACCTTCATGAGCCCTGGGTATTCTCCGGAGGGCAGCCCGTAGATGTGGTGGGGAGCGGGGCTGAGGCCCAGGCCTAGGAAGCAAGGAAAGGCCTGGGACACACCGTAGCTTCCCGGAACCTTCTCTCGCCAGTAACACACATTGATCCGCAGGGTCTTGAAGCAGAGAGAGGAAGTGGGAGATAAAGGGGGAAAGCCATGAACTATAGGCGTCAAGAACAGTTTCATCCGGGGTCCTGTAGCTCTGGAATCCAAGCTGAATGCCTCCATCGTCGTTTCGTCCAAATTCTCATGTCAGTGACATGTTACATTGTTTTAAGTGTATTTATTGATTTTGAGAGAGAGGGGAGAGAGAGAACATGAACCAGTGGGGGAGGGGCAGAGAGAGAAGGGGACAGAGATTTGAAGCAGGCTCTGTGCTGACAGCACAGACCCCGACATGGGGCTCAAAGTCACGAACGGTGGGATCACAACCTGAGCTGAAGGCGGGTGCTCAACTGACTGAGCCACCTGGGCGCCCCTCGACATGTTACATTTTGATATGAGGCACAAAGATCTCTGCATCTCTGTCTCTTCTTCCACTCTTTTTTTTTTTTCTAATATTTATTTACATCCAGCCCTACTTCTCTCTCTCTCTCAGCTAATGATACCTCAGATTTGTTGAATGCTCACTACAGGTCAAGCCATTTCCTAAGGGCTTCATATTTATTACGTAATTCAATTCTCCAATGGTCATATCCCCATTTTACAGGCTAGAACACTGAGGCTCATGAGATACACTAACTTGCCCAAGGTTGTCTGGGAGCACATGGTAGATCCGGGACTCAAACGTGAGTCTGTCCAACTCCAAGGTTTCTTCTCTTAAGCACCGACCTTTGGGCTTCCAGCCTCCCCTTACCTGCAGGGGCAGCTCAATTCCCAGGGGACGGAGGAGCCGGTTGGTCCAAGGGCCTGCCGTGATGATCAAGCTTTTGGCCTGGTAGCTCCTGGATGTAGTTTTCACTGTGACGGGTCGCCCCGGCTTTATCTCCATCACCTTCTCTCCATCACACACTTGGCCTCCAAGGCGCCGAACTGCATCCTGAAAGGGCAGCAGCGGGGGAGGGCATGTTACTTACACAGTTCCATGGTTCCCCCTGGTGAACAGAGTCCTTCACTTGGGGCAGAAAAGAGGGCTCCGACTCCAGACCTCCTGTCCCATAAAGCCTGGGCCTAGCAGGTTCTATGAAACCACCCTGCCCTAAAGGTCGAGAATGAAGCCAGCAGGGCAAAAGGTCCTCATCCGGCCGAGGGGGCTGGGAGACGGCAGATTCAAACGACCGCAGAGGCTGCGTTCGCCCCGAATGCAGCACACACTACCTGGAGGGCTCTGAGGGCCTTGTCTGCATAGAGAACTCCCCCAGACTTGTCCAAGACCCCCACTTCCCCCCTGGCCAACCGAACGTTGGGGAAACGGTGCTTCAGTTCCTCAGCTGAAAGACACTGGTGCTCCACCCCCTGTCTGGACAAAGTAGCCTGGATCGTTTTTAATTCTGGATTCTCCTTCATTCCCAGCAGCAGTAGCCCCGTCTGCCTGTAAAAAAAAAAAAAAAAAAAAGGTGGGGGGAAGGCACGTGGGTGAGGGTATGAGTCAGGTCCCTGGGCCGTTCTCTCTCGTAATTCAACAAGGGTCCCATCAAGGAGGTCTCGGCTCATGGTCAAAGAAAACTGGTAAAGTCAAGGATGCCTGGCCGGCTCAGTCGTAAAGCACACAACTCTTGAGGTCAGGAATGTGAGTTCGAGCCCCACTCAGGGTGTGGAGCTTCCTTAAAAGGATTTAAAAAACTAAAAATAAAAAGAACTAGTAAAGTCATCTCAATGCTGCTGTTAGGGTCGCAGTCAGGAATGCCCGCCCATTCCTAAGTCTGCCCTGGGCTCTCACTGTTGGTTTGCTTGTCCCTCCATCCTCTCGGGATCCATCTAGCCCTTGAGGGGCAGACATTCAAAACCCGCATCTAGAAAGATGTTCCTTCCTCTTCCTCCATCCCTTGATCCATTCACTATTCTGACCTCTATTTGTTGTTGTTGTTTTTTAAGTTTTTTTAATTTATTTTGAGAGAGAGAGAGAGAGACTGAGAGTGTGAGTGGGGGAGGGGCGGCGAGAGAGGGAGAGAGAATTCCAAGCAGACCCTCTGCTGTCAGCTCAGCGCCCAACTCATGTCTCAAACTCACAAACTGTGAGATCATGACCTGAGCAGAATGAAGAATCGGATGCTTAACCCGACAGAGCCACCTAGATGCCCCCAATCCCTACCCCCTTCTTTTTTTTTTTAATTTTTTTAATGTTTTATTTATTTCCAGGAGAGAGAGAGAGAGACAACGTGAGCAGGGGAGGGTCAGAGAGAGAGGGAGTCACAGACTGAAACAGGCTCCAGGCTCTGAGCTGGCAGTCAGCACAGAGCCCGACGCGGGGCTCGAACCCACGAACCGCGAGATCATGACCTAAGCAAAAGTCGGACGCTTAACCGACTAAGCCACCCAGGTGCCCCTCTACCCCCTTCTTTACCCTCTTTGCCCCACTCCAGTCCCTGCCTTTTCTTTTCCTTTGTCCCTTTTCTTGTCCTATGATGTACTGTCCCCTTGCTGCACTTGTCTGTGCCTGGTCCGTCCTCGGAGGCTGCCTGTCTCGTGGGAAGGATCCTAAATCGGGAGACTGTGAGGCGCCTGGGTGGCTCAGTCGATTAAGCGTCCACTTCGGCTCAGGTCATGATCCTGTGGTTCGTGGTTCGAGCCCCACATCGGGCTCTGTGCTTACAGCCAGCTCAGAGCCTGGAGCCTGTCTTGGGCTTCTGTGTCTCCCTCTCTCTCTGACCCTCCTCTGCTCACGCTGTCTCTCTCTATCTCTCTCTCTCAGAAATAAATAAAATAAAATAAAATAAAATAAAATAAATTGGGAGACCTGGCTCCGGGTCCAGTCCTGCCCCCAACCCCTGCCCCGGTGACCTTGCACTGTTCCAGGCCGCCCCCCCCCATTCCTCTGGAACGCATGCCTGCTGGGCTGCCGGTGGTGCCACCCCAGGGTGGTGCCGCCCCAACCCTGGGGCGTGTGTAATGGCATGGGCCATTTATTCAGTGTTCACGGCGCCTGGGGGATGCCACTCGCATTTAGTGGGCAGGGGCCGGGACACTAAACCTGTAGTGCTCCGGAAGATCCTACCCCAATGCCGATAGCATCCTCATGCAGAAACACCAGTAGACGGTCTCTCAGGTTCCAGCAATTAATTCCATGACTCTGTGGTTTTGTTTCTGCCTACACTTCCCTTTGTGCTTCTTACGCTCTAGGGGAGTAAAATCTGTTTCTCTTGAATACTCTCCTGTCTGTCTGTCACAAGAGACCAGAGCTCCCTTTTGGTGGAAAGGGATCTAAACAATAGAAGGGTCACTTTGGCCCTTGGGGCCATTGCCGTGGTCCCTCTCGCTTTCAGCAGCTGCAGTGACCAGCATCAGCCTCGTACATCCCCCAGGTACTGTGTATAAAGCTCGTAATAGCCTATAATGGAGTCTCATGGATATTACATGCTTCCAAATCCCACATTATCTGGTTGGGGGGATTAAAGAGAAGATCGAGAGGGGGTAGGGACACAGCAGGCCCTGGGGCCGGTGTCAGTACACAGAGCCACGCAGCGTGCCCAATCCATTGGCCACGGCCCCCGCCTACCCGGCATTCACCACTGGTGAGAAAGCAATGAGAGCCTCTGCCTCTTCAAAGCTCAGGAGAGGAACGAGGCTGTAGAATCCCCGTTAGTCAGCCGGGTCCTTTCCCTGTGGCCCCCGAAAGGACTTCAGATTGGTTCTCAGGGAATGAAAACTTGCCCGGCAAACTTCTCAGTGGAGAGGATAATTCAGAAGCCATCCAAGGATACATTCTTGAGCCCTTTCTACCTGCTGGGGTTGTGGCTGGGGAGAATTCTGGGAAAGACCTGGCTGACCCCTCCTTGGTTACAAGGTCAGATCACTGGCTCGTAAATTCCAACCCTTGCCTGCAATGTAACAACCTTGGTGTCTGGGCTCGGAGACTCCGTCACTTTCCCTTCCTCTCTTCCTCTCTTTCTTCCACCCTCCCTCCCTCCCTTCCTCCCTTCCTTCCTTCCTTCCTTGAAGTAAGAACCCCTCTTACAGGAATGTACTGTATGTGGAAAACAATCTCATGCCAAGACAATGGGCAAATCTGTCGAATTATGAAACGCTGAGTGATGTTCTAATTCCCAAGCCATCCCGTGGCGGATGAAGCAGGCGCTCCCATCCCTAGGAGTAATCAGTGAGCTGATTCCGCCGGTGAGTGTAATTGTGCCGATTGTAATCATTTTGCTCCAGCTCTCTGCCCCTGTGGCATTTATTTCTTAGCCCAGATATTGATCTAACAGTGGGAAATTTTCCATCTGAATTTGTGATGCTGGACCCTCCCCTGGTCCGAAGATGCGTTTGGGAAATTCTCATTTTCCGTGGATCACAGCTGAGCTATTTGGCCTGAGGGAAACCGTGCACGGCTGGAGAAGTGCCTCCGATGGGAGAGAGATTTCTGACCATTATGAGCAAATCGGAAATAAATGTAAAACACTGCCTGGAAATGCAAAGGCCTGTCATTATGGGAGATAGGTGAGCGGCTCCTGTGGGAAACGCTTAGAGAATTGGAAATCAGTCAGTCAAAACCGGGACCAGAGAACGGGCCTTTTCCCCCCAGTATGAAGATAGATGACTTCCATGGGCGGATTGAAAATCATTTAAATGCTTATTTTCTTAATGGCTTTTCCTAGATCCCAATAAACAGACCCACTCATTCTGTATCAATTTCTCAGCCCTGTGCTCTGGGCCTCCCCGTGCACTCCCTTTCTGCTCAGACCTAGGCTACCAAGTTTGGGGAGGGGAGGAATGAGACGAGACAAGGCCGTCGCAAGAGAAAAGAAAACAAGAAAATTGTCCAGGAAATGCCGGGTCAGGGCCGGCCTAGAAAGAGAGCACCTTGAAGAGGCTAGGTTGTCAGGGAACCTTGGAAAGAGTGTGGCTCCCTGCTCCCAGAAGGCAGTCAGCCGCGTGCAGAGCGTGTGGTAAGAACAGCGCCTTCCTCCAACCCCAGCTGGATCCAGCACTAGGAAGAGGCAATCGAAGAATCCTCCCGAGGGCCTTGTTGATTTCTCTGGCCCACTAAAGCCTCGGACATGATGTAAGGAGCTGGTGATCAGGGATTTCCATCCATGTCTACGGGAGGACAGGGCGCCGGATGGAGCCAGGAGGGATTGGGAGGGGCAGACAGCTCTCCCCGCAGCCACCTCCCATCCCAGGCTCCCCGCGTTCTCTTCTGGGACTTTAAAGTGCCTGTCGGTGGAGCCGGTCCCCAGAGTCACCTTGGGGAAGAGACTGGGTAATGGCTGCCGTCTCCGTCTCCGTTGGATCTGGAGGAGCTCTTGGCGTTTCATCTTCCGCACAGTGGGCCGAGGTGGAATTGGTTAACAAAGACTTTGCTCCAGGGAGGGGATGTGGCTGACAAGCCAGACACTTCACAGACACAGGAAGCAGCAGCTGCGGAGGGGGCCACCAGGTTCTGCCAGCAGCTGTACTGCCTACGGCTGTGATCTTGTCTGATATTGTCAGCTAAGCAGGGGCAGCCTGGGTCACGAGCTAGATATTAGGACTCAAAGGGAGAAGGCGGGGCAAGCAAGGGATGGGCCCCAGAGCTGGGATTTGCTGGTGGCATCAGCGTCCTGGCTGTACACATCACAAAAGATTCAGACCTTGTGATCTGGCACATGTGTCATTGTCTGTACCCAGAATATATGCAAATATCCTGAGCCCACCCATGTTTAGTACGCCACTGTCACAGGAAGAGGCAGAACAGAATAAAAATAATCGGACAACCACCTTAACCAGCAACTCCTGAAGACGTTCGGTGATTTGTTTGTTTGTTTGTTTGTTTGTTTCATCGCTGTGAAGTAGCCTTAATAAACACATTCATATCTATCAGTTAGATTATGATGTTATGCTGGGTTTCTGAGAAGAACCTCGGAGAATACGAACCACAGAGATGGTGGATCGTTATAGAAAATCAGAATTAAGAACAAAAGCTAAAAGAATTGGAATGGGAAGTATCTGTTCTCTGTTCCTAAATAAAAGAACCGAATACTTTAGTCTGCCCGAGTAAATCAGATTAGCCATAAGAAAGGACATGGTAATGATTATAATAATAATAGTAACATCTAGCACTCTGTAGAACTCCAAAGCACATGCACTGTACTCTTTCTTTTTCATAACTGGGGATGCTAGGTATCAGAGTGGTCTTTTAAGAGGGGCTATCGTATGTCCCTGTCTTTTTTTAGACGTTTTTATTTATTTTTGAGAGAGAAAGAGTGTGTGTGTGTGTGTGCAAGTGGGGGAGAGGTAGAGAGCAAGGGGGACAGCGGATATGAAGCAGGCTCTGCACTGACAGGGGTGAGCCTGATGTGGGGCTAGAACTCACGAATCATGAGATCAGGCTCTGAGCCGAAGTCGGGAGCTCAACCAACTGAGCCACCCAGGGACCTGTCTTTAATGTTTATTTGTTTTTGAGAGGGGGAGGGGCAGAGAGAGAGGGAGACACAGAATCCAAAGCAGGCTCCAGGCTCTGAGCTGTCAGCACAGAGCCCAACGCGGGGCTCCAACTCACAAACCGCAAAATCATGACCTGAGCCGAAGTCGGACGCTTAACCGACTGAGCCACCCAGGCGCCCCATCCCCTGTCTTTAAATAAACATTAGTAGTCTTTCCACCTGGGATGATTTAGACGTGAATTTGTTGGGGTAGAGGAAATGGCCAGAGTAACTAGTCTGTGGGGCCAGCAAATCATGACTCGGGAACCAGATCAGATCCACCACCTGTTTTTGTTTGTCACACACGCCAAGATGATTTTTGTATTTTTTCATGGTTGATTAAAATAAAAAGAATATTTCATGACATGAAAAGAATATGAAATGTCGGTGTCCGTGAATAAAGTTTTATTGGCACCCAGCCACGCTCAGTTATTTACATATCATCTGTGGCTGCTTTCACACTACAACGGTGAGAGTTGGGTAATTGGCAGAGCTGAATAGTTACAACAGAGACCATATGGTCTGCAGAGCCTAAAATACTATGTGGCCATTTCCGGAAGAAGTTCGCCAAGCCCTCTTCTAGACTAACTAGGAGCATAGTAATCCTGTGATTTGCACCAACAGGTTAGGACCCTGACTACTCTGTAGCAAATCTCTCATACCGTTGCCGGGAGACATAAATGACTTCCCAGGTGTTGAGTGCTTTTAAAACAGCCTTCGTTCCTTATCCCAAGCATTAAAGAGGTGATGATGGTGACAATGATGACGATGGACTTCTCAGGTCCTCTAAGCCCGGCACGTACTTATGCTCACAGCAGCCCCATGAAATAGATACCCCTACTTTACAGACAAGAAAACTGAGTCTCACAGAGGTTACACAGCTTGCTCCAAACCGTACAGCTAAATGTGTCAGAGCAGACATGAGAGCTGGGTCGGCCTGCTCCCCAAGCCCTTCCAAATTCCTGCCAAGAAAAGGATTGTGAGAGACTCTCCTACCCAGCGGTTCCTTTCTCTCTCTCCAGCAGCGGTTTCCATGGTTGCTGCACCCCACCTGTCTCCTCCTGCCCTTCTTCGTCCCTTCTGGAAGGCAGATAGGATACGGCCAACCCAGAATAGGTAGTAGCAACTGCCAGTTGTCAAAAGGTGCTAGGCACTTTGCCAAGCACTTCATGAGAGTCTCATTTCATCCCTACAAAGCCCTGGGAGGGAAAAATGAGGCACAGAGAGGAACAGAAACTTTTCCAAGGTCACACAGTCAGGAAGAGGTGGAGCACAAAGTCAAGTTCAATCCTGTCTCCAGAATCACATTCCCTCTGGAAGGTTCCAGACACCCTCCTAACCCCACTCTCAACATCTTAGTTGCCTCCGTGTCCGCTGGGAAGAAGTGAGCCCTCCAAGGCCTTGGCACTTCTCTTACTGCAAGATATTCAGCAGTGTTCTCAGATGGCTGACAGAGAGGGGTCCCTTTGCCAGGCCACCCCTCAGCGAGACGTGCTCCTTTATTTGGGTGCTGGGTGCATTAGCCGCCTCTGGAATAAATCTGTAATTAGCTGTCCTAGCTGTATTTGCATAATGGATTTCACTTTGTTCTTAAGTTAATGGTGTTTTTGCAACAGAACAGTAACCTCTTGGTTCCTGGCCATTAAAGTAACTGCCACCCTGTAGGATAGAGCCGTGGTTCTGTAGAAAGTTCAGTTAAGAGCCACAGAGAAGGTGGGAGGGGATGTGGGGTGGGTGGTTAAAGTTCTCTGTGCGCCGTGGCTTGTCTGCCTTCTTCCCCCACGAGTGTTTGAAAGGTCAGTGGAGGGTGGGGGGTGGGCAAAGGAGTCTAAAGGGTTAAGAGCCATGGGAACAAGAGAGAACTTCAGCAAGCAGTGGGGCCTGAAGAGGAGGCCTATGGGAAGAGGCATTCAGAGAGAATGCAATGGATTATCGGGGTCACTCTGGGGGTGAGGACCCAGCATGAAGGGCTATGATATTAGCAGGAATATAAAGAATCAAGAGACGGGGGCACCTGGGTGGCTCAGTCGGTTGAGCATCTACCTTCGGCTCAGGTCATGATCTCGCAGTCCACAGTTCGTGAGTTCCAGCCCCACGTAGGGCCCGTTGCTGTCAGCACCGAGCCCGCTTCAGGTCCTCTGTTCCACTTTTTTTTTTTTTTTTTTTTTTTTTTTTGCCCTTCCCCTGCTGGTGCTCTCTCTCTCTTGCTCAGGAATAAATAAACATTAAAAAAAAAAAAAATCGAGATGACAGGCTCCTCCTTTATTTCAGTCCCTGCCCTAAAAGAGTCTCAAATGGCTCTGTGGAGATGTAAATACAAACTCCAGCTGTGGGTATCTGCTCCCAGGGCCCTTTTAGCAATCTTCCCGATACAACCTCTGCTAGCCTCGAACACGTGTCTGACCCCAGACCTGGAACTCAGAGGGCAGCGGCAGCCAGCTGGACCTACGGCAATCGTCATGACAGCGAGCACAATGCTTTCGCGGGTCTGGCACTCCCCTGGGCCCCGTGTCCCTGCAGTGCATTTCAAGTGTTCATGGCAGCACCCCCTCACATCCTAAAAACAGCCCCCAGGGCAATGGGCCCCACAATTCAAGGAATTCTCCCACCCACCCCCGAACCTGTGCAATTGGGTTCCGGCCTCATGCTCCAGCTGAGCCCATATCTGGTAGCACTCATCCATCATCTGGGTGTAAAAGTCTTCAGGGTATGCCCTTCGGATGATCCGGCTCTGCCCATGGGAGCTTCCTCGGGAGTGCGGTAGAAAGAACTAGAAACGAAAAACAAAACAGCCGAAGCTGTTACCCCTTGCGCTGCCCGCCCCTCATCCCCACCCCCAGGATCCGCTGCCCGCTCCTCATCCTCACCCCCAGGATCCACAGCTCGTCTTGGTCACATCTTTCCATACAATCTCCAAGTTACTGATTTAGCCATGGGCACAGAAGTTTCCAGTAGGACTAACTCAGCTTCCCGTTTGCTGACATTATTCACAAAGTCCCTTTGTTAGTTAGTCTTTGGTCATCTTGCTGCAACCCCACCCTACCTAGTCTCCTGGAGAAACAGAATTAGAAGGAACCTTGGATATCATTCCAGTCTAGCCCCCTTCGTTTTATGGACAGGGAAACGGATGCTATTTCTCTGTGGCTTCAGATCACTCGGGTCAAGGGATCCACCTTGGGATTTTGCAAAGGATGGAGAGTTTCCTGCAAGGTTAAACCAGGGATCCCTCAGGCTTTGAGAAAACTGATAGAGAAGTTGAAAACGGTTCCTAACCAATCCAGCGCATTACCAAAAAGAGTAAATCAAAACCTGTCTGGATAGCTGTAGGGAGGATGGGAGGATAGAGGATTCGGGAAGGTGAACTGGGTGGACCTGCCCTGAGAAGGACCCTGGAGACACTCGGGGTCCACCCACATGCCCAGTGGTCAGTGTAGACTGCACTGCGTGGCGTCACCTTGTCTATAAGGAAAAATAAGACCTAAGTCTCAGTGCCTGTGTATCAAACAATAAGACTGCCATCAACCAGAGGTGGCAGAAAGAAACAGAAGCCTCTGGTGGGTTCCAGGGTGAGAGGCCACCAATACCCAGGAAAGAATTCCACCTCCTAGGCTCACAAATCGCTGCTGCCTCTGGGCAAAAATATTTTTCCTTAAGGTTACCCAAAGCAGAACTGATTATTTTTTCCAGGCAAGATCAACCATTTTGGCGCAGAAGAGACTGAGTGGTAAGAAGGAAAAGAAGAGGGCCTGGGGCACTTCTGGATCGAGGGCAGGAACAGGGAGGCAGTAAAAGGAGGCAGTGAGCCTGGAAACCCAACGTGGGTCTTAGGGACGGTGCAACTCTCTTTGCATTGTCACGAAATACACGAGGCCGCAAAGCTGCAAACTGCACCGAAATTGACAATCGGACCTTACTCCAAAGTCCGCTGACTCTGGAAACTTCTCTCTAAGGGGAGGAGAGAGGGACCGTCCCTAAGGTCAGGAGTACAGAGGGAACACAGTACCTGCTCCAGCAGGATGACCCTCTTCCTGTGTTTGGCCAGATGGTAGGCGGTAAAGCAACCCTGGATGCCTGCCCCGATCACAATGGCATCACAGAGCTCTTTCTGAGCAGCCATAATGCCCGCTTAGCCCTACAGCCACAAAGCCCGCACACAAAGACAACTCTGGGCTGAAGGAGGAGGAGTAGGGCAAAGTCCAGCCCGGCCAGCACTCCCACAATCCCCTGGGCTGCATCCTTCTCCCCACTCCTCCCTCCCCGCAAAGCCTGGCATAGGGCTCGGTCCCCACCTCCCCTGCAGAGCGGAGCCGGGTAGTCTGATTTCTGAGGTTTAGCCCAGCTCAGCTGCCGGCCTCACCCCTGTATCCCTCTAGCTTTCTATTCTTGGCTCAATTATTGTCATGCAAATGGCTCCTTCCCATGCCACCTTCCTGTCTCATTATGATCTTTGTCTCCGGACTTCGGCCCTGGAATTTCAATGCCTCCTAGACCAAGCTGGGCACCAGGAATGCTGCCTCCCCCTGCTGGCTTCCCTCCCTTCTGCCTGATTTCCTTTGGAGATTCTAGAGGGCCAAGCTAAGAGCTTGGCACTCTGCCCAGGGTAAGACCCACCTCCCCGGTGGGGTGCAAGGTCGGGGCGGGGGAGGGGGGAGTAGACTCAGGGAACAATTGGGAGGGCAGTTTTGTGATTATGAAATTATTCTCAGCATGTTTTACTTTCGTTTTTTACAAAGGAGAAGAAATTATCCTGAACAAATGGAAAGGACAGAGAGGCGGAGCTTTGTCCTGAGCCACAGAGAGGGGTCCAGGCACCAGCCTGGGGCACGGGAGGGGGGGGGCTGTAGTGAGCAAGCCAGCCCTCTGTGCCAGGCAGTGTGCTAAGTAAGCACTTTTACATGCATTCAGGACAGAGCTAAGATTTGTAGGGCCTGGTTCTTATACAGTTTGGGGGTCTTCTTTAAGTAAAGGAAAAGAGGGGGTCACCTGGGTGGCTCAGTCGGTTAAGCGTCCGACTTCGGCTCAGGTCATGATCTCACGGTTTGTGGGTTCAAACCCCACATCGGGCTCTGTGCTGACAGCTAGCTCAGAGCCTGGAGCCTGATTCAGATTCTGTATCTCCCTCTCTCTGTGACCCTCCCCTGCTCACGCTGTCTCTCTCTCTCAGAAATAAATAAAACATTTTAAAAAAGAAAAGGTAAAGAGGGGTGCCTGGATGGCTCAGTTGATTAAGTGTGTGATTTTGGCTCAGGTCATGATCTCAAAGTTGGTGAGTCCCGTCCCTGCATCAGGCTCTTTGCTGTGAGCACAGGGCCCACTTCTGATCCTCTGTACCCTTCTCTCTGCCCCTCCCCTGCTCATGCTCTCTCTCTCTCTCTCTCTCTCAAAAATAAAAACATAAAAAAGAAAGGAAGGAAGGGAAGGCAAGGCAAGGGAGGGAAGGAAGGAAGATAAAAAGGAAAAGAAAAGAAAAACCATGAATACAAAATTAGATGCCAGGACTAGGAAGAGACAATCCAATGAGGGAGCCCCGTGGTTGAAGTATCATTAGCCTCACGGTAAATCTGCCTCTACACGCATCTCCTTGCGTAATCTTCACAGGCCTTGAAGGACACATGTTTATCCCCACCTTGGGCACATGAAAGACGGTCCCAAATTCATTGTCACTCCTCCCATCACAGACTCTTGTGACTGTATGACCGATAGAGTAGGGCAGAATTGACACTGGGACACTTTCTAGTCCAGGCCTTAAGACACCGAGCGCTTCTTCTCCTTGTGCTGGTGACTCCCTCTTGGGGCTCTGAGCCACCATGTTAGAGGTCCAACCACCCCGTGGGACAGACGAGGCGGGGAAGCCCTGAGACTGCGGGAGAGCCAGACTCAAGAGTGAAGCCCTGTCGGACGCCCCCCTCCCCCACCCAGCCCAGCTGCCAGCTCAATACTGCTGAGCGACCCGACTAATGCGAGCCACATGGAACAGAATCACCCAGCCAAGCCCCATCTGAATTCCTGACCTACAAAATTGTGAGCTAGACTAAAACAGTTGTTGTTTTAGCCACTAAGTTTTGGGGTGGTTTTCTTATGCAGCCCTAATCGAAACACCCCTTTTACAGCCAAAGTCATGACGGCTTACAGAGGTTCTGACGCACCCAAAACCACACATCTGGGAAACGTAAGCACCGACATGTGAGCCTAGGGTCACCTGCTCCCAATCCTGTTCCCTTACCCACGGCGCTGTACTGGGGATCGGTCAGAACTCATAATGATGATTCTGATTTAAATAGTTTGCTGTCTTGGGGCACCTGGGTGGCTCCCTCGGTTAAGCTCCGGACTCTGGATTTTCTCCGTCTCACAGCTCCAGATGGAGCCCCGCGGTGAGCTCCATGCTGACGGCGCAGAGCTTGCTTGGGATTCTCTCTCTCCCTTTCACTCTGCCCCTCCCCGTGTATAAGAGCACTCGCTCACTCGCTTCCTTGCTCTCTCTCTCTCTCAAAAGAAATAAATAAACTTAAATAAGTAGATGAATAGATAAATAAGTAGTTTGCTGTTTCTTTCATGGCCATACTGGGAGTGGGAAAAAATACTGGACCAGGAAATCCCTATGACCCCAGGTTGCTCCCACCCCCAGCAGAGGATGCCACAGAGTGGCCTCTGCAACCAGCTGCCCTCTCAGCCCAGCCCCTCCTTTACTAGGAAAATGGAGGCCCAGAAGAGAGGTACCATATGACTGGCTTTTCTTTTCTTCTGAAAAAAGAAAAAAGAGGGTGCCTGGGTGGCTCAGTCGGTTCAGCTATCGACTTCGGCTCAGGTCATGATCTCATGGTTCGTGAGTTTAAGCCCCGCGTCAGGCTCTGTGCTGACAGCTCAGAGACTGGAGCCTGCCTCGGATTCTGTGTCTCCCCCTCTCTCTCTCTGCCCCTCCTCCGCTCACACTCTGTCTCTCTTTAAAAAATAAACATTAGGGGCGCCTGGGTGGCTTAGTCGGTTAAGCGTCCGACTTTCGCTTAGGTCATGATCTCGCGGTTCGTGGGTTCGAGCCCCGCGTCGGGCTCTGTGCTGACTGCCAGCTCAGAGCCTGGAGCCTATTTCAGAGTCTGTATCTCCCTCTCTCTGTGACCCTCCCCTGCTCATGCTGTCTCTCTCTCTCTCTCTCCTAGAAATAAATAAAAATATTTTTAAAAAATAAATAAAAAATAAAAAATAAACATTAAAATTTTTTTTAATTAAGAAAAAAGAAAGAAAAACACTCTAAAATCCAGAAGTCTTCTCAATTCACCCTCACCCCCAACCCCAATCCACCTCACTGTTGGACAGCTCCCTTAAAGAATGGTAGACACAATGGGAAAAAGTGGACTGGTTAAGTATGTAAAGACTTGATACAAATATATAAGGTCAGTCCCCAGATTTCTCTTGATAAGGTATCAGAGGAGATGAACCATGTCCACACAAGGAAGAGCAGCAGTAAATCCTCCCATGGAAGCGGGCCCCGCTTCACTAGCAATGAAAGAAAAGGGAATTTATTAATTTCAAGGTACGATTATGTGCCTGTTAAAAGAGCAAAAATAAGTAACAATGATAAAATCTGATGTTGTCAGTGCCGTGGGGAAGGAGAGAGAATAGGGTGGCGGCTCAGCTTGTCTGGGCCTTCTGGAAAATGCTGGACCATGTGCAGGAATGGTAGAATGGCCCAAACCCTCTGGCCTAGAAATCTGACTTGGGGAACTATACCCCAAGGAAATATCCAACGGAAGAAAAAGACATTTGTGTAAAGACGTTTGTAGCCATGCTCTTACAATACAGAAAATTGGAGACCACCCAGCCACAGGGAATAGCTGAGCAAATCTGCCGCGTTGACACGGCGGAATACTATGTAGCAACTCAAAATGACAAGCTGAGGACCGTGGGCTACGTAGAAACGTGTGTAGGTATGAGATTATCCTGAGAAAAAGAACAGAGCAAAAATAGCCACACTCAGATCGCAACCATGAGATATGTGTATGCATGTTATCAAAGATCTAAAGAGAATTGGGGCGCCTGGGTGGCTTAGTCGGTTAAGCGTCCGACTTTCGCTTAGGTCACAATCTCGCGGTTCGTGGGTTCGAGCCCCACGTCGGGCTCTGTGCTGACTGCCGGCTCAGAGCCTGGAGCCTGTTTCCGAGTCTGTGTCTCCCTCTCTCTCTGATCCTCCCCTGCTCACGCGGCCTGTCTCTCTCTCTCCTAGAAATAAATAAAAAAATATTAAAAAAAAAAAAAAGATCTAAAGAGAATTTGGCACAGTCATTGAACTTAATGCTCATTAGTTTCCATATTCCATGGAAATCGTGCTTCCATTGCTCCCACCTCAGTTCTTCCTGCTGCCCCTCTCTCCCCAACCATTTCTTATTGTTCATTCTCGGGGGAAGCTACAAAGCGGCTCTGTATCCCACCTCTCCTTTGTTAAATATAATATGCCTTCAGAAATAAAATGACAATTCCATTCCCCCCACCGCCGCTTCACAAGGTTGCCCTGGATTCCTGGACTCGAGCATCCGTGTCTTGTTAAGAATTTCAAACAGCTCCTCCGAAAGCAGACACTGGCCGTGGCCCAACCTTGAGATGAAAAGGAAATCAGCTTCTGAAGGCTTCCCCCCTCTCTCTCAGGGCTGCCCTGTCCTTGTGGCTGTCCTGACAGGGGCAGGCAGAGAGAAGCGATCCCCTCAAATTCCATTTTAACACCCATTTTGGATCGGAAGACTATTAAAGAAAGAGCCGGCAGCCCTACACTGCGCGAGGCGGTATGTCAGCAATTGCTGCTCGTGTCCTGGGGCAGAGCCGTGGAGGATGTGAGCTGAACCGCTCATCTGATGGCTTGATTGACACTTCGCAGACGGGGGTGGGAGAGCCCAGCCAGGGAAGCCGCAGCCTGCACAGCTCAAAATAATGAGAGGACCCGAATCGGGAGAGAGCGTGGAATCAATGAGAGAGACCTGGGAGTTGGATGGCGAGGGAGAATCCTCTGTTCTCTGTCCTCCGCCCCCCTCTGCCAAGGAGCTGGAGCCTGGGGCAAGGAGGCAGGCAGGCAAGCCGGGCAGTGGCCCCCCCAGACCCATCCTGCCAGCTGCCAGGGCTGTTTGGGGCCCT